AGGATATTTTCCCACTGATTTTTAGAGAGAGAGAGAGACTGAGACTTGACAAACCGAAGCCACATAAAAAATACATTTTTGGGGAAGTGGAAATTAAAAACACTGCAAAGGGAACTGTATGTGGAAAATAATGTGGAACAGACATTTAAGGGTAAGCAAAGAGGAAAGACCAGGCAGGAAATGTGGATGGAAGGGCTGCCTGCAAACCTTCAGCTCCAATGAGGGCAAGTTGTACGGACATGGATGGGATTTCAGCGGTGTCTCCTGGATTTTCACGAGTGCCAGTTAACTTAAACTGGGATGGGTAGGCTTCTGTCTTTTGCAATGGGATGATACCAAAGGCTGAAGGATTAAAACACACAAACACCTCCACCACGAGCCTTAAAGCGTGTGACACTACCCCTGTCAGGCCTCAGGGAGTCCGTCCCCTTTGAATAGTTTTCTCATGTCCTCCCCAAGGTAGAAACCAGAAAGATTCTCTTTCCCAAGCTCCCTTTGCAGCTGGGGACAAGGCCTGGGCCCAAGGCTTTCCCTGTCAAATACACACACGGTGGAGTTCAATTCAGAAATGATCAGTGTGAGGAAATGGGTTGGGCTGAGGCACTGGTGCTGCTGGTGAGAGTGGCTGGCAGCAGAGTTTCTGGATTGCAGAAGCCGTGCTGGTTGTGAGACATTCCAGAGCAGAAACGGCTTTGGTGCTAGTGGCCTTGGTTATCTCAGAGTCATTGCTGGCAGTGGCACACACTGTAACCTCTGTAGTTTCAGCTCACAGGTCACAGTGGGTGCTTTCCACAGGCCAGTTTGGGCATGATTTTGGAATGTTCCAGCTTAGTTTTGAGCCTGTTTGTTCAGCCTCCCAACAATTCAATGAGACACTCAGTGTCCTCTACAGATGTTTTTTGGCTCAAACTTGCCAAAGTGGGTTCTGTTATTTGCAACTTACAAAATCCTGTTTCATATAGCATCTCTGGCCACGAAACTATTTTTAAGATCAGTATATGACCCCTCTGAACACAGGAATGGCTACACCCTTGAAGTTTCTAGAACACTCTGACACTGGGACAATAAGGGTTCTATCGTGTTTTTATGTGAGGCTGGTATACTTAGTCTCCCACCAATAAACTAAGCAATTATTCTCTGTCTAGGTGCCACCTTTGGTAGGAAGGTTTACGAGAAGTAAAAATAAGGAAGACTGCTCTGACTTGAAAGAAGAATTTCGCCAAGAATTCAGCAAGCTTGAGGAGGTAATCAATCGCGTCTTTTGGCTTTTATCAGGGTAAATGATACACTACACCTACCCACTTGTTTCGACTCTCTTTTCTTCATATCCTCATTCCCCAGATCACTTTATAGCAATTAGTAATAATACCAAGTAAGAAATTTTAGTTTATAACAGATTGACATAAACTGTGTGTTTTAAGATATAAACCAAAACACCTAAAAATATTTTGTCATGGACTTTTAAAATGTTTTGTTGCATCGATGTTAAAATAACATGGAAAAAAGGAACTTCACCAATATTTCTATAATGTGTCACCTGTTTTCTTTTTTCCCATGCTGCTTCCAGTCCCTGTCCATAGATTTAAAAAAAGAAAAAGAAAAAGAGCCCTAACCGGTCCCAGGTTCGATTCCGGTCAAGGGCATGTACCTTGGTTGTGGACACATCCCCAGTAGAGGGTATGCAGGAGGCAGCTGATTGATGTTTCTCTCTCATCGATGTTTCTAACTCTCTGTCCCTCTCCCTTCCTCTCTGTAAAAAACAAAACAAAAACAAAAACAGAAAGATTAACATAAATGTAATCAGAGCATAGATACCATCCTGTGTTATTTTACTGAGTATTATATAATAAACATTTCCCACCACAAAGAGTTTGCCATGAATCCTACAGACACTTGGCAAAGCCAGATGTGTTTTACCTCCTTTGGGGGAGAGCTGCTATTTTGGGCCTTTAGATTGAGTCTTTCTCTTGGCCTTCAGACATTCCAAATACTTCAGGTAGATTTAAACAATCAGTTTACAATGCAGACTGCTGTACAGGCCCTGAAAAAAACTGTAGAAGTTTTATAAAGGGTTAAGTTGATTTGATGTTGATTAATCAAATAATATTCTGAATTCCCCCCCTTTGACAAAACCATAATACCAATTCACCTTCTTGAATTTCGAATACAGAGTTCATGCTTGGTTTTCAAATAATTTTATGTAACAGTTAATTGTTAAACTAGCTATTCCCAGTATATTTTAAGTAAATTGTTTTATTGAAGAATTATAGAGAAGTAACCAAAACGTAAGAGTCCAGCTTGATGAATTTTTACATAGGGAACATCGCCATAGAATCAGCACCCATTGCAAAACACAGAATATTTGTTTTGGCTATTTTTTTTGTTTTGTTATATAAACGGACTAAAATAATATGCACTGTTTTGGGTCTGGCTTATTTCATACAGTATTAGGTTTGTGAAGTTCATCTATGTTGGGTGTAGGTCATTCCTATTTTTTGTAGTTCCAGCATATGGCTGTATCACAGTTTTTAAAAAGATCCTTTTTACTCCTTGTGAGCAGAAAACATTTCCGCTTTGGGGCTATTACAGTTAGTGCTGCAGTGAACATTCTTTGGTGAATATATGTTCACATTTCCAAGTAGAATGACTGGGTTAAAAGTATGCGTGCACTCAGCTTTGAAAGATACTATTGAAACATGGTTGGACCAATTTACATTCCTATCACCAGTGGTTCCACACCTTCGCTAACTTTGTCTTGTTCATTTTAGCCATTCTGATGGGTGTATAGTGGTATTACATTTTAGCCATTCTGATGGATGTATAGTGGTATTACATTTTGGTTCTAATTCGCATTTTCCTGATAACTAATGTAGTTGACTACCTTTTCAAATGGTTATTGGCCATTTGGACATCCTTTAATTGTGAAGTGTAAGTCTTGCCCAATTTTTTTAATAGGCGGTTTGCCTTTTTTCTTGATTCCCAGGAGTTCTTTCTATATTCTGAATACCAGTCCTATGTTGTATTCCGAAGATCTTGCACTCTGTTGCTTATTTTATTTTTCTCCACTTTTCAGTTTATTTTGTTTATTGTTTTGTTTCATCCCAAACGAACAAATAGTAAAGCTTAAACTGATCAAATAGACAAAAAGTGAACTTGGATATGTCAGGGTAAAAGCTGTAGGTCTCACCACTCTACTTAACTCACCTGCATCATCTCTGATGATGAATCTTACTAGATATCCAAATAAGAAGTACTCTTATGCTGTTTAATGTTCAGGTTCTGACCAATAAGAAGACAACCTTCTTTGGTGGCAATTCACTTTCTATGATTGATTACCTCATCTGGCCCTGGTTTGAACGACTGGAAGCATTGGAGTTAAATGAGTAAGACATTTGAATATTTTGTGCATAATTTAGGATAATGATAATTTGAATAGTATATGTTGACCTTTTTCTGAACAAAAATATTTTATACAACTTTTATGAATGGGAAAAGGCAGACAGGAGGAAGACTTGCGCATGTCATATACCTATACTCATCACTGCTTCCCATCAGGGGGAGTAGGCAGGGGTTCTGTGACATGTGGTAAAATGTTTTAAAAGTAATTTACTCCTTCCCTCCTTAATAAAAATCCATAAGGAAGGTTTGGGGAGGAGGAGCTGAGTGAAAAAGGTGAAGGTATTAAGAAATACAATTGGCAGTTACAAAATAGTCACAGGGATGTAAAATACAGCCTAGGAAATATAGACAGTAATGTTGTAATACCTAGGTATGGTGTAAGATGGGTACTAGACTTATTGTGGGATCACTTTGTATGTTATATAAATGTCTAACCATTATGTTGTACATCTGAAACGAATATAACAATGAATGTCAACTGTAATTGAAACTTTTTAAAAAATCCATAAGGAAGTACATTTTTATAAGGCTGTCATGCAGGATTATATGACCAATGCTACCTCCCAGTTACCAGTAAGATTCCGTATTGGTTTGCAAGCTCCATATTTTGAAGTTTGGCAGCCACTTTAGCTTACTCCCTCTTAGAGCTTAGAGCTATTCAGGGTTACTCTTTATATATGTGTATAGTGGGGGGGTCTTGCCCTAGTAACACCGAAGATCAGTGATCACAGATCTCCACAACAAATATAAAAATAATGGCAAAAGTTTGAAATATTCTAAGAATTACCAAAATGTGGCATAGAGACACGAAGTCGAACAAATGCTCTTGGGAGAATTGAGCCAATAGACTTGCTCAATGCAGACTTGCTCAATGCAGGTTTGTTGCCACAAACCTTCAGTTTGTAAAAAACGCAACATCTGAGAAGCTCAACAAAAGGAGGCACGCCTTATTCTATGATTATGTACATTTTAAAGAACTGCTTAAAAAGGTTAGAGGAGAACTAAGTGAAACTGCAGAGTGCTAATGATGACATATAGACTTTGCAATGCCTTCTTCTTTCGTCCAGCTCACACCTTCATTCTTTCCATCTCCCACAGGTGTATAGACCACACTCCAAAACTTAAGCTCTGGATGGCAGCCATGAGGAAAGATCCCACAGTATCAGCTCTCCTCACTGACGTGAAAACCTTCCAAGGTTTCTTAAATCTCTACTTGCAGAACAGCTTGGAGGCCTGTGACTACGGGCTCTGATGGGGGCAGAAGTCAACAATGAAAATATATCTGATACTTTCCTTCACCAATAGGAATAAAAGCATGCTTTTACCTTAACAAGTGCTCTCATGTTTCTTTGGATCACCTTCTTTGAGTTGACATTATGGCCCAGCGGTGGGGTTTCCTTCAGGCCTTCCTGCAGAAATGTAAACACATTTCCTGTTCCGGATGCTCAAATGACACTAAGGTTTCTATCAGTCTCTGCTGAAAACCTCTAAGTCATCCTCTCTACTGAGACCTAGACTTCAATCTAGATTTCTGACCACCCACAGGACACTTCCACTTGGATACCCCATTGTCATTTCAAGAGATGCCCTTTCAAGTTTGTCTTCAAGGTTCTGAATTGGGAATTTTCAATCCTCATTTTTTCCATCATCAACTGAATTTCACTTGCCATTGTCACCCATGAAGACCAGACCTGCATCACCTCAAAGTCAGGTGACTAGGTGGCCTCCTATTTGATCTCCAATATCTAATCTCTATCCTCAACTCCTTCCTACCAAAATCCCATTTCAGGTCTACAACATAGAGATTATGTTGTACAACCCATTCAATATGTAATTACTATGGAGACCACATCCCTTAATGGGGTATGTAAGGCCGAATGAGTAATAGGTAACATCCCCATTCAGAAATAGTAATGCCATCTTCCAAACACTTCCATAGCCCATTGGTCTTCTCACTAATGTTTATCATCACATCACCTCCGGGAGAAGAAGGTAGGTCCGAGAGTATCACTTCACTCTATAGATCATTCACCTAAGGTCCCGAGGTTAAATGAGACCTTAAGATGCTGGCAGAAATATCTGGAGGACACACCCAGCACCCTGTTCTTACTGTCAGAATTAAGGGGCTGTTGACCGGCCAGCCCCAATACAGTCTGGTTTCCTGTACTTCAACGGAAGAGCACCTAGCAATCACCTTGGGCTCGCTGCTGGGGGTGGGCCAGGTGGGCCACATTTGAAAAGAGCTCCCCCTCCCACCCCATTGTGACGCAAGCGATCTGGGGGCCGCACCCTGAGAGGCAGCTGACCAAGGATGACTTCACAAAGGGCCTTCGGCCGCCAACGCCCAAGTTCCCAAGTTCCGGGCGACCGATCTCTGCCTCGATCGGCCTGCCCCACACTCTGGGCCTAGGTCGGCTGCGGGCGGAGTTCAGTTGGAGGCAGACACGGGCACTGAAGTGCCACAGAGAGCCACTACCTGGTCACAGACACCCGTGGGGGAATCGAGACTCCGGTTCGCAGCAGCCCGGAGAGCAGCCTCCCAGCGGCTCCGCTCGCACGGACTGGCCGGAGCGCTTCCGAAGGCCTCTAGGGTTTGGCTGGAGCTCTGGGCTCCGCGGCCAGCAGGCGGGTAGGATCTCACTCCAGGGGCGGGCTCCACCCTCGTTTTACAGCCGGTTCCCTTTCCCACGGGCGGGCGGCGAGGTGTCTGGTGGCGTCTCTCCTGCCCCCTCCACCGGGTGGGTGCGTGGGTCCGGCCAGGGTTGCATTTGAAGGGAAAAGGGGTGTGTGGTCAATTCTGGAAACAAGTCCCTGATTCTATTTCAAACAAGTCTATCTGAAAGTAGAGCTGCTTTTTCTCACTTATCCTTCAAACTCCGTGAACAGTATCTGAACACCCAGTCACCTTTCACGGGAATTAGGCTTCTGAAGTATTCAGAGGGATGTCCAGGTTTTGCCACTCTCCGAGATAGGTATGAGAAAAAACATTTTTTTGAAAACCTGAAAAATGCAAACGCCACTTCTATTCTCAAAACAGAGATTCAGTTAAATAGAGTAAATTATTTCTGTGGTGGCATTATTTTCCTCGAAGGCTTAAGTTACTATTACCCATGACTGAAGATCCCCACATTTGCAAATAGATCCGGTTATACTTCAGACAGCTGGAAACCAGTGTGGAGTAGGTTTAATTTAATATGGCCTTGTTACCATTTGTTTCTTGCTTGAATGAGTCAGTATAATAGAGGTGTAAACATGATATAATTACAGAGGAAGGCAATCTGCAAAGAGGATTTCAACGAAGTACCTATTGGGTCTTTAAAGGGAAGTAGGGATAAGCTCAAAGGTCATAATTAAACTCTTTCCAGGGAAACCATAGTGTTCAGAGGTAGGATTAAAATCCACATTACTGAAATGTAGCCTGCAGCATTCAACCCATTCAACTGCCATTTAACTGGTAACTGGTGAAAGAAATATTCAGTGTTGAATTCTGATTCTAATATGCTTGGCAAAGCTGGATTGCAGTGCATTTCATCTTTATGGATACAAAATTGGAATGCACTATGCTCTTAAAAATGTGCTCTTATTCACTGCTATTAGTCATTAACTTGGAGCTCTTACTGAGGATCACCTGTATGATTTCATTCAATATTCAAAACCCATCGAGAAGGTGCTGTTTCTTTCTCATTTCACAGATGAGAAGGATGAAAGTCAAAGAGGGGAGAGAGAGCTTGTCTAAGTGCCAAAGCCAGGGTTTGAGTATAAATGCCAACGGAGAACCTTGACGTTATTTTCCTTCCCTTCAGGGGAAGAATTGTTTTCATTACCTTGTCTATTCTCCCCTAACTACACCAAATAGACTTGCATTTTAGAATGTGACTTCCCATACACGGATATACTTTAAAGCAATAGCATTTATCAACTCTCAGAGTTGGTTTCCTTTAAAGGTGGCAATAAGGGGAGGGGGGAATCTTGGAAATAGGTTCTCTCTAGCATAGTGGAAAAGTGGAACCTTTTACTTTGCAAATGGAATTCCCAGTTTGGCCCTTAAGAATTCATTCATTGTCAGTTTCCTCCAGGATGGGCAAACTCAGGCCAGAGAGCCAAATCCAGCCCACTGCTGGGTTTTGTACAGCATAAGAACTAAGGATGGTTTTCACATTTTTAAATGGTTGAAAAAAAACAAGAGAAGAATCATAATTTATGACACATGAAAATTGTATGAAATTCACCAAGAGTAAACCCTAATGGAAACTATTCACCACTCAGTTCGTCTTCATTGATTAAATTTAGTTTCAGAATAGTAGTTATCCTATTACTTTATCTTCCAAAATGCAACATTGTCAGCATGGCAAGTGAAGAACCAATGTTTTTCCAATACCAGACTTCTTGCTGACACATATGCAATTTCTTTTAAGAGAAAATGTATTAGAACATTTTTGCCATTCCCCAAACTTATAAATCCACAGCAACCTGTCATGTTCCACATGAAATCACTCTGAATGACCTAACGATGTTGTTGAGTCACTATTCCAAAGACTTTCAAAGATTCCTATTTAGTAGGGGAAAAAAATGTTAACACTTTTAACCAAGAATTTCTGGAGAGACTGGAATTCCAAACGACAAAATGTGTCCAATCACGAGCTACATAATTAGGTTCTGTCATTTTAATGAAGGATATTTAGATTCAGCTAACAATTGTTGAGCAGCAATTATGTGTTAGATCTTTTCCAGGACTTAGATCCTTTCCTCTCCACACTGTTAGCTGCTTTAGAGACCAAGACAATACGCCAGGCTTTGGACTTTTAAAGTTCTTCAACCCTACTAGCGGGTCACTTTGGACAAATAATTTCATTTTCCTGAGGATATTTTTTATTTTGTAAAATAGGAATATTAGTTGCCTAACTGAGTAGTTGTGGGAATCAAATAAGGTAATCCATGGAAACCATTTAATCAGAATGAGGGGGGCATAGAATGCTTTTCTTTCCTCCTTTACTTGTCAACCCTCTGAAATGCATTGATGAGTAATTCCTGTTTCAGCTCAATCCTGTAAAAATCAAATAAGTTCTCTTTCCATCTGCTGAATTTCAGGATCACCAAGCTGCTTAGGGTCGGAGTAAAGGCCAGCCTCCGCCTTGATTTCATGTAGCTGGAAGAGCGATCCAAGTGACCCCTGTATTGCTGGGCTGTTGACAATGTGCCCTTAGCCATTATAAAGGGTCTTCTCTAAGATTCATGCTGGGGGATGGGGAGAGCTCACACATTTTTCTTTGCCTCTAGATTATCTTGTTTTGAATTCATTACCAGTTTTTTCATAGCTTGGGTACAATCTCACGAATAGGGCTGGAACTAGAGTAAGGCCAGTGAGGGCACACAATTTAAGGAGACACTCAATACTAAGAAGTGTTTCTTCTCATCTGCTATATTATGAAAAAGCTTGCCTTTATTTTTTGGGCTCATACAGAGAATGAGGCCTATTGTCTTAGAGATGCAGGAGGGAGGGCTTAGAATGGGAAGGAAAACCTTAGTGCTACCCAGGTTAATGTTTGTTCAACTCCCTTGAAATAGCTGGCGTTTCAATGCTCCATCTCCACAGATTCTCAGTGCCGAGAAGGGACCTCACCGAAGGCTGTGCCCACGTGTGCAAGGCAGGGGGTACTTCTCAGGGTTTTTATTTGTTGGGTGTTGCCCACACTCCTACTTGGACTTCCAAGTCTGGGGCGAAGTCTCTCTGCGTTGTTATCCTACCTCGCTCGCTTCCCAGATCGCGTCCCCGCTGCCCCACCGGATCCCAGTCCCTTAAACCTTG